TTTAATAAACCAAAATACAGTTTCAAAGAAAATTAATTCAGATACAAAACTTTAAATTCAGTTTCAATTTAGTGAAATTTATTTTCAAACCAATGCATTCAGTTTCAGATTATGCACATTCAGATTCWCTTCCTGCTGGCACAAYYTTTATCCCATAATGTTTTGGAAAATGTGACTGTTCAGCTTGAAGTGGACCAGTTTCATATTAACAGACAAGCAAAGCAAATCACCATCTTTTTACCTGATGTAAGAAGTTAAACTCGTGTATCYTGGCGAATGCACGGTTCCTCATGTGATTTTCTCACAGGTAAGAATAAAGGAGGACTTTGTTGTGTGGAACAAAACATAATAAATGTGGCTATGCTCTGATTAACATTTGCATTTAACAACTTCTCAGAGTTCGTCCATTAGCAGGACTTCTTTTTGTAAGTATATTTTTGCAAATATTTAAGAATAACATTCCACTTGCTGTTTTTTTCTTACACTCTTTTTTTAATTGTCCATACCTTTTCTAATGTTTTGGACGATGGTTGGTAAAAGCTAAAAAAAAGAGGCGGGTTTCATGTGATTAATTGCAGATATAGATTATGCAAATGAAGTGGTTTTGTTTGGGTGGAACTTGATGGAGAATAAAAGAATGTTTAAGAGAGGTTGTCCAGTTTTTAAGACTAATTTTATTGACCTTCCAGGTTTTTCAGTTAAAGGACCAGCATTCATGCCAGGGATGGAGTTCAACCATTTCCACCAACTTGTAAATAACATAATTAGATATCATGAGATCTTGCAACATGTGATCAGAATGTGTGTTGAGGATGATCCTTAGCTACTACCTCACCAAAAATAATCAGTTATCTGTCAAACTGAGTTACAGTTGTTGTTGTTGGGTTATGGTACATTAGATGTGGCGGCCATTTTATTTGGATTGACTCCAAATGTTAATGAGATGTAGATGTTCATCCAGTAACTACTTTCTAAAAGGTTCATTAAAATACTTTCATTGATTTAAACACACACAAGTTTGTTTTTCTATCCCTGTGGGGACCTTATTCAATTCTTACTCAACTCAATTCAAACCTTAATCCCAATCCCTGACCTAACAACAGTGCGGATGGATGGATGGATGGATGGATGGATGGATGGATGGATGGATGGATGGATGGATGGATGGATGGA